CAGGTTCAATCCCACATGTTTTATACTTTTTAGCTGCTGGAACCACCTGGAACAAAAAACCCAAATCATTTTGTTCAGTCCTGAAAGAGAAGTATATTACACAAATTATGAAAAATAAAATTTACTTACCGCGAGCCTCTCTGCCCACCACTCTTCCGAAGCATCAATGGTTCGCTTTATTGGATCCCAACCCAAACCAGTTGAACCACGCTTTAGATCCTTCCAAATTTTCCAATCTTTCTTTAGTTGATCCCATTTGTTTTTCATTTGCAGCCTGTCGTACTCCCGTCCGGTGGAGTCTTTAAAATGTTTAATGATACTATTCCAACCTTCTTTATTGAAAAAGGTTGTCGGTCTATTGCCCAGCTCAATTTCTTTGATACAGAGGTCGCAGAACAACAATTTGATTTCCTTTTCCCAGATTGCCGGTGAACCATGTTCTTTAGACTTACCAGCCATGTTACTACTACGACGAAGCAAAGATATGAAACACAACAATATAGTTTTCGATTAAAAAATTGATTAAAGAAAGTAAAAAAAAATGAAAAAGAACACCAAATGTTTACGTGGTTCGGTCAAAATGACCTACATCCACGGCAAAGGAGGCCACAACTTTATTATAGCATTAAATAAGAAGATACAAAGCTTTCATTCATACAATACACCCTCCCAAAAGCATCAAAAAAACATAATGACTTGCAAATTTCTCCCTTCCCCTTCATTCATACATAGAAATGCAGTAGTAGCAGTTGCCAACACGCCCCTCGGATTCGTACTTCAGCAAACCCAAGCATAGAAATATTATAAATAAACAGTAAAGGGCAGCTGCTGAATATCTGAAGTTTCGGCTTTCGTAAAGCCAAGCAAAGCAACCATCACACTTCCAAAAATCAGTATCCATGAAAGCAAATTATAAAAATATCCAATCTATCAATTTGAAAGTTCTGCTTCAACAAACCAAACCAAAAGGATACCAAAATGTTTAAATCCTCATAAATATTATCCATACACAGCACAGGAAGGCTGCTGAACATGTGAAGGTTCGACTTCAGCAAACCAAAGCATAATAACTATCATAGTTGCAAAAAACCCGGCTCCATTATACCCTCAATTTGAAGGTTCAGCTTTAAGTAACGACTTCAGCAAACTAAAGTAACTAAACTAAAGTAACGACTGCAGCAAACTGAAGGTTCAGCTTTAACTACATTTAAGTAACGACTTCAGCAAACTAAAGAAATATCAGACCCTCAATTTGAAGGTTCAGCTTCAACAAACCAAACCAAAGGAAACCCACGTTTATGGTGCATACATGTTGATGTACAAAATCCATTTAAGCCAAATCACGTTGATGTGTTCAAGAAACTAGCCAAACCACGTTGTTGTGTTCAAACAAAATCCAGAAAATCCAAACCAAAACAAAAAATCTAAATCCAGAAAATCCATTTAAGACAAACCACATCAATGCGTTCAAACAAATATATTTAAATCCGAAACGAGAATCTTCCATCAGCAGGTGCATACCCAAGCAAAACAGGAAATCAAGCAAAAAAGGAAATGAAGTTCAAATTGACCATCAACATGGATTCCTGTAGGTTCAGCTTCAGCAAACCCAACCAAAACAGGAAATCAAGTTCAAAAGCCCGGCTCCATCAAACCAGAGAATGAAAAATAAAGAAATTTCAATGTCAAGGTTCAGCTGCATTATACAAAGTTCAAAATATTTCAAATACATTACATTATTTTTACACTTCATTCTTTTTTCAACAAACCAAACAACCTCTAATGGAGCCATAATTTTTTTGTGATTATTTGCTCTATAAAACACAATTTAATTGTCAAGAGAGTGTTCGCATCCATCTATGTTGTCTTTTTCACTCGTGGTTTCAGGCATCAAGGTATTCCCTATGAGCATGCCCCACACATCCTTGTTGAACTAGTGCACCACGCATATTATTTCTCCTCTAAACTCTTTGAGCTATCAAACTTCTTGATTTAGAACTTCATGTTCATCATATTCCTCTTAAACATGTGTTCAACTACTAATTATTAGGAACAATAATACACCTAAGTTTATGCTACTACAACATCAGTCTATAAACACATGTGATGAACCACAAAATAATTACAAAAGAGTTTAAGTGCCAAAAAAAGAGAATACCTAAATTTATATGTTTCAGCTAATGTAAAACTACATCCACAAAAGAAAAGAAGGGATTTGATCTATTAACAAGAAAGTCATATTCATGGTGTAAAATACATGAATGCTTATTAGAGTTTCCCAAAACTCGAGTACCACCTATGCTCAAAAAAGAAATATAGAAACCTATACCTCTTAAGTCAAATAAGAGAAAGTAACTTAAGAGAAATAATAAAAAAACGGATTAAAAAAATTCTAGAAAATTGCACATAGTTCAATTGTGTTTTGTAGAGCAAATAATCACAAGATGAACTTCTAAAAATTTAAAGACGACACCATATGTTCTATAGAATGAAATTCAGAAAATAACCAAACCGAGAAGAGCATCCACAAAATCCATTTATCCACAAAATCCATTTAACAGAGCCATATGAATAACCAAGTGGATGTGTTCAAACCAATATTCGAGAAACTAGCCAAACCGAGAAGTAATTACAACATGGGTAGCATTTATCATATGAGTATCACATGAGAATCATATGAGTTAGCAAGTTGATGAGTTCAAAAGAGCCAACTTTTCAGTCAAATTTTCTTTTCAAATATGCTGTCTAAAAACTTGGAGCTAAATTCAATTCCCCACTCAAATACTTCCAAAACGAGAATCTTCCATCAGCAGGTGCATACATGCTTAAACCACCAAACTATCTCTAATGTAAAACAGCATAACAAATTGGCAAATATCATGGATTTCTGCGGGTTCGGCTTCAGCGTACCCAAGCAAAACAACCAGCAGGTTTCCAAAAAACCCAGCTCCATCAAACCGAAGAACAAAAAATAAGAAAATATCAATGTCAAGGTTCAGCTGCAACACACCAAACCAAAGCAAACCCCGATAGTTTGAAGGTAAAGCAACTAAAAATGTTTCCAGCAATAAAACAAAATCCCAAAAACTCTCCAGAGCAGATGTTCTTCTTTCTTTTTTTGCATGTGAAAAACATGTCTAGAATGGAATACAGAAAATACCTATAAAACCGAGAAGAGCATCCGCAAAATCCAATTAGCACAATCATTTAAAATGAGGAGCAAAATATTCAAACATCTTGCCAAACATCTTGCCAAACCGAGAAGCACCAATTTCAGGTGAGGAGCAAAATAGATAACATAGCATATAATCCCAATTTTAGCGCAAATCTAAGGGGTCGATTCGGGTAAGAGTCTTTTATGAGCCACAGATACAGGTAAAAAATGAAGCAGTTCTTCGTATGCCATAAGATCGTAGTAATAAGAAGAAGCCATTTAGCTACAGATCCACCACACGAAAGAGGAAGTAAAGAAGAATGGCAGAAACAGGAAAGAGGTGAGAAGGAGAAGACAGTAGGAGCCGCAAAACGCACATGCTTCCTCAGATCGGCAAATAGAAGAAGAAAATGGCTCTTCTTACCTTAGGTATGTCGGTCCAGGGACAACGAAAGAGGAGAAGGAGAAGGGGACGCGAGGGAAGCAGCGAGGAATGACCTTAGGGTAGACGCGGGGAAGCAGCGGGAAATCACCAAGGGTAGACGCGGGGTAAAGGGTAAAAGTTATGGAGGAAAGCGGGAGACGCGATGGTAATGCCGCTGCCCGCTTTCACTCCGCTTCCGCCGCCAGAATGCCCGAAGTCGCGAACCAAACAGGTGACTTTCACGAAAAGCTGCGTGTAATAACCGCGCCGCGCCTAAAAAGCGCTCCCAAACAGACCCTTAAAGGTATGGTCGAGCTTATCTCTCAAACTGAAGGGTTATTTTGTTTAACTTTTATGGTATGGATGATTTGCTTACCGTCATGCAGGGTGGTCTCTGGTTCTTTAACGAGAAGTCGTTCCTTTCTAACAGATTAACACCTCAATTTCAACATGTTAAAGAAAATTTAAATGATGCTCTACATGGATTAGGTTGCCCAACCTCCCCATTTATCGTTGGACTGAAAATGGAATCTATAAAATTGCTAGTATGATAAAACATCATTAGCTATCAATCCCCTTACTGTTAAAGGCACACGTCCCAAATTTGAAAGAATTAAGTATAAAAAATAATATCCATTATTCTCTTCTAGATGCGATCATCATTCATTTTAATAGTAAAGATGTTTTACATGCAACACATTTTCCTCCCATGATCCTTCTTCTCGTTCTAATTCACTGAACTTCAACCAGCACCACCCCTCCCCTATCTGAGAGAGAAGTAAAAGTAAAAGATTGAGTGCCCCCCTCCTCATATGGACCTTAGCAATCAACCCTCAATCTCTTCCCTTATTCTCGCCCCTGACCTTAACCTCCTTTCCCTTCCCATCCCTCTCCTCCCCTTGCAATTAGAACCCTCTAATCCCTAACCTATGAACCCAACCCCACCATGCCTACATCTTTCTCTTCCCCATCTCAATCACACAATCCTCTTAACCTCCCAATCTTCACCTTAGTTTTTCCTTAAGCCTCTCTCCCACTCATGATCATAAATAAGATCTGTTCCAACACCAACCCCCCCCCCCCCCCCCTCACAATGCTCTCCTCTTTACTTCCATGCTTTAAAAAAATTAGACCCAAAGGAGGTGGTGCCTCCAACACTCAATAATCATCTATGTTTTTCCTAAACTAGTTTTTTTTTTGGTGGAATTTAAGAGGTTACAATGATAATGCTAGAATTAATGATTATAAGAATTTTTCTAAAAGCCAAAATTTGGATCTCTTTTGTTTCTTATAGGCCAAGCTTAATTAATCCACCCTCTTAACAAACATCGTCTCTCTTAAACATTTTGACATATTCTTAAATGAATATCGTGTTGACAACTTTCACACCTCCAATAATCGTTGTATTTAGGTTAAGTGGAATCCTTCGAAAATTGCTTTCAATGCTCTGGAAGTTCAGTCTCAATCCATCTATGGGATGATCAAATTCTCTGTTGCTCATTCTTTCTTAATCACTTTTGTCTATGCTGATAACAATGCTACTCAAAGGAAGACTTTATGGAGTTCCATTAAAGTTATTATTGCTAATATCGTTTCTCCCTGGATTATTGTTGCATATTTATGTACAAAAATCATTTGAAGTTTTGCGAAGGCCTCTTTTGCATTATTTTAGAATCTTGGATTATTCAGGTGAATGGTGATCCCATTTTGCTATTGGAAACAAAATAAAAATGTTATGAAAACTCTTTTAAATGGCCATCTTCCAATTTTATTGCTGAAAATATCAAGACTATCAAAGGAACTCAGAATGTCCTCTTTATTGTTCTTGGGCAACAAAATCTATCCTCTGAACTTCTTTCTCAAAAGCTTCGCAAAATAAACTCATTGAAGCTACCAAAATAGAAAGTGTTTTTTTGGATCAAACAAAGAGCTAAATGTTCTTAGCTCACAAAATTGGAAGATGATTTAAATTTTTTCTTTCAAAGAATCAAAAATAGAGGAAATAAAAACTACATTGGATAGTTGAAGATTGATAAATCTCAATTGATTACTCAACATGATATTATCTGTACTATGTTCTCATATTTCTCCACTCTTAACTATTTGGGCAACTCTTCTACTAGTCTTCATGGTATTTCTACTAGCAAAACTCTAATGAATCTTGAAGTAAGCTCTATTATTTCTGACTCTTTTTGACGGTGACATCAAAAATGTATTTTTTTTATCGAATAAGAAAAGACATCCGGTGCTAATCTTTTCAACTCCTCTTTCATGAAAAACTCTTGGGATATTATTGAAGAGAATTGTATCAAAGCCATTAAATGTTTCTTTATGACCTCTAAACCATTTGATAAGTAAAGAATATCGCTTTAACATTAATTCTAAAAAATCTCAATGCTTAGAAACTTCTTGATTATAGACACATCACATTATGCACTACTATATTCAAAGTAATTTCCAAGCTCCTTGTTGATAGATTAAATAACTATCTACCATTCATTATCATTCCATTACAAGCTAATTTTATCAAAGGGATGGACATTGCTAATAATATTATCATTGTAAATGATAAGCTTCAAGGTTTCAACTCCTCTATGCATTCTGTTAAAAAAAAAGACATAAAATAGGCTTTTGATTATGTGAATATGACATTATCTATCAAAGATTACAAAGGTTGGGCTTTTCTCTTCAATTCTTTGAATTAATCAAAGTGTACACCTCAAAAGTCCATTTTTTAGTTTTATTAATAATGAATTTCATGTTTACTTTTCCTCTATCTTTTATTTGAGGCAAGGTTATCCCCTTTATCCCTACCTTTCCACAATATCTATGGGTGACTTCTTTAGATTGTTTGAGCAAAATTGGCACTTCTATGATGTTCATAGTAATAAGGATGAAATTACACATCTTATATATGCCAATGACATACTTATGTTTGGTAGAGCCTCTTCATGTGACATACAAAACCTAGCTTCAACCTTAAAAACCTCATATGGGGTTCTTAATCTTGAATCCAACCCAAAAAAGCTACTATTATCTTCTCCAAATTTATCCCCGATACTCAAAAGTTTTGTTTTTGTTATATTCTTAGCTTTAAGGACAAACCTTTACCTTTGGATCACTTAGGTATCACCGTAAATTATTCTAGACTCTTTATTACAACTTGCCAGAAAAATTTGGAGAGAATTCA